CTGAGAAAACACTGGTAGAACAGGTAAAGCCCTGGAGGACAGTTTGGAACTTTCTCACATCGCACAAACAATTACTCCTTCTGTTTCTCCAAATAGCTTCCTTGGTATTTGGTAACCTTAGGAGATAGGATAACCTTACTTTCTTATCTTCATCACCATTCACTGAAAGTAGTAAGTCTCTTTAGATGCCTATTGGATTGTAACTTCTAGGAAATCTGGATCACATGATGCTCATTATGCATTTGAAAAAAGTACACTTCTACCTTGGCCCAGCACATAACTTCTACACAGCCAGTGGCTGGATTGCATGTATGGCATACCATAAAAATCAGCCAGAAAGCATTCTGTATAGACAAAATCATCACTAAAAATTGAATAACTCAAATCCACTGAGTACAATAGCAAAGTAAACAAACAGTCAAACGAAGAAACTGGAGTGCCATGTCCAGGAGTCTCTAGAACAGATTGCACACCTACATGCTTTTGCTTGACCATGAATGCTAAAGTTTCGAAAAGTCTTCGTTCCAAAATAATACTTCACCACACTCATCAGAAGAAAAGAGAAACTGAGAGCAGGAAGATACCTTTTCTTTTCCTTTCATTTTCGTTCAAAACAAAAAACAAACAAACAAACAAAAAAACAAACAAACAAACACCTGTTTTATAAGATTACCTTCAGAAGGCTAATAGGAAATATTCCATCCCTGAATTTTTAGGCACTGCTTCTGAATGCAGTTTAAGACTTTCAGTCTCAAATTGGACTGTTTGAAAAAGAACATGTTTCGTTCAGGTGATTTGAATATATTCTTAGAATAAATAATATATTTTTTTCCCCCATATCGGTACACATAATTCCAAGTGAGAAAATAAAAGAGAAAAGGTAATTTCTGTGCATATCAGAATGCTTAGATAATTAACCAAGTATTTAAAAAAACAGGACAGTGGATTTGTTCAGGAAGTTCTTAAAAGCCAAAATAGACTGGAACTATTAAAACCTGGCATAAATCCAATCTAAGGCTATAAAAACTACATACATAAATACAGGCTTAGCTCTTAATGGAGACTGCTTCTTCTTCCTTCTACCAGTAACCCATGGGGCAGACTTACCACTACTTGTTCCCAGAAGTAAGATGTCAGAAAAAAAGACCATTTGTAAAATGTTACTGGGAACCAAATACCTTTGGCAAATGAACAGGTTTTCAAGTAAATCAGGTTCTAGACAATGTTATAAAATACTGTTTGCACAAAGCGCATTCAGCACAATTTTTCATTATTTCTATTATTTCATAATTTTACTTCTCAAGAGGTAACACAATAAATTACTATTTTTACCAGCAAATGGAAAGCACTGCCCTTTTAGAAAGAAAACTTAAATCTGAATGCTTGAATGCAACAAAAAAAACTTCTTTAGCATAGCAGTTACGTAAAATGAATATACAACATAGCTTGGGGAGGAGAGAAAGCAGCATTTTTCTGCATGTTAAGAATGCAATCCTCAAAATTATAACACCACAATTTTATTTTCCATCAGTTGTAACTATATAAGTATTTTAAAGCATTATTTGAAGACTTAGTATATACTCAATAAATTGATGTTGATGAGAGTACCAGGGGCATACAAACCAAAAATGACAAAAAATACATTTCTACAACAATTAAAAAATGGCTTTCCTTTTAGACATTTTGTTAGATCATCTGGACAAGTAAGAAGAAAAGTGAGGCCCATTTTATTTTCTTTCATTAGTAAATTTCAAAACTAGTACAACAGAAATCTTTTTTTTTTTTTTTTTTTTTTTTTTTTTTTTTTTTTTTAAGGGAGCATGGATGGGGAGGTGTTTATAAATTTGCTTTTTTTTTTTAAATCTGGGTAAGAGAAATGTACAAATTTCACACAACTACATCACTAATGTCTAAAATCAAATAAAAATAAATATTGCATTAAATATAAAATACTAATTTTAAAAAGGCCCCTCAGAATTTGCCATCATTGTTTTCAAAATAAACCAATAATAAAGCTAGCTGTAAAATTGCTACTTTGGAAGACTTGCCTAGAAGGACATTAATTAGGTCTCATAAAGGATCAAGTCATATTACTCTCAGGTGCCCAGAGCATGCAAAGACAGTCAATACATTTTCTTCTAGGAAATGTAAGTTGAATTGAGTAAATATTCAGCATATGGAAGATAAGGAGAACAATTTTCCCCACAGTAGGGAGAAATTTTTTAAGGCTTACAAATATGTATTCAAAATTTGTTGCTTTCTTCATGCACTGAGACACTCAAGCATCATAACATTTGATGCAGTACTTATAGTGATTATTCCCTGACATTATTCCAACACCGACACAGCATTATTATATGCTGTTTCTGTAGGTTCTGACAGTGAGAGATTTTTTTTAATTTCTGAATTTTATTTGTTAAAACAATAAACTCCAGAAGTCCAGAATTCATCTGGAAATAACATGCTGAATATATGAATACAAAAGATTTAAGTTGCATGCTGCAACACCACCAGAACATGATTTTGTTCCCCTAGCAAAATTCACAGTAACATATAGTAAAAATTATTGAAGGAACATTCTGCCATTCAGGTACATTCAGTTTGTTCCTGATCTCCCTCCCAAACCCCCAAAATCAATTCACAGCAATTCTCCAAACCATTTGCTGGCCTTTCAGGTTTTGGTAAACAAGTTTCTCTGGGGACAAATGAAAGCACATGCAATCATACAGCATGCTTCTTTTCATTTTGGGTCAAAAATAGTCAATATTTAACATGTGCAGCAGCTGATTCAATCACTTTTTATAACACTGAAAGCATTCATGAGGAAAAAAAAAAAATCAAAGATATTCAGAACAAAACCTAAAATAGCATATTTCAGTATTTCACTTTTTCTTGGATATTTTTCTATTGACTCCAATTAATGTTTTATGGGCTTGTGAACTTGGACATTTTTCTTTGTATAAAAGATGTTGATGGAGTTAATAAGCCCTGCCAGTAGGTTGTTCCAAGCTTTATTTACAACACCTGGAATTTTGGAAAGATTTCTTAATGACTTCCTCATGAATACGTGCACATATATAAGCATATATAATATTTATTTCTAAAACTTACTGGAGCATGTCATCATCTCTTTTAATGCCAATTTTACACTTTTTTTTTTTTTTTTTTTTTTTTTTTTTTTGGTTCATACATACTTCTCTGTTCACTTAATGTATAATTGTACATAATAATCAACGAAATTTTCAGCACATGTTTAGCATGCAATGCAGAGTGTTTCTGGGAAGAGTAAAGACAGGAGAAATACAGAATTATGCAAAGAGCTAAGGGGAAAAAGTTGGTAATTTGAGGAATATTATTTTACACTTTCATAGCAAGAGAGTAGGCACTCTCAAACCCTTGAGAAGACAACAATAAGCTCTAGACCCAAACAGACCCATAGACAAAGGTAGTGCCTACTAGAGCAACAATGTTGCTACACTGCTACAGAAGACAATCCCCTATCAGACAACTTCTGATACATAAAGCTGCTGCATCTCTATGGTAAAGCCAGCCATGAAGCCACATCTCTAATTTGTCATTATCTAAATAAACAGGTCTGAGGATACATGCATCTTAATATTTATTATTATTATATATTTTAATTAATTTTTAAAGATCCTTATAACACTCTTTAGTCCCACTTATTGTCTACTTACTACCTCTTTAATCTAACAGCAGAAATCCAACCTCAAAGTAGATATGCTTACCAGAAATCACCTGAAATCAAAGCCACTGCATGCATATTCCTTGGGATTTTTATTTATATATGTATTTATGGTGAGGGGGAGGGGTAGGACAGCGAAGGCTTATGATTTGCAGGATTTGGGTTCAGTTCTTCCTCTTGTTCCTGATCTCTGGCAGAACACAACACACTACAGCACCTTCAGGACATCTGATTTCCCATACACCATATCAACCTACACGAATACCAGGAAATAGCCTGGTAGCTATCTAAGCTCTGGCACAAGTTACTTTCTAATCAGTTACTTTCCTCACCCTTCCCATCTGAGTCATTGTCTGACTGGTTCTTTCTCAAATTTTCAAATAATTAGCCATCTGCTAATGCTGACTTAATCTAGAATGCTGTAGAATGTGAAAACACACTAAAATCTAGTTAGCATTAATTAATAAAATACAGGTTTGACTTCGATTCTGATATCCTAGTATAAAAATTACCTCTACACGTATCATTTATGCAGTCTCAATTTGAAAAACATTTGAAATATTAAAGTCTCCATCTAATCAAATGTGCAATGTGGAAAACACTGAGTGTTGTGGCTCTGGTTTCAAGCTGAAAAACGTTGCAAGCTACATACATTTCTTCTTTTTCAGAATAAACGAGAAAGAGCTTGGAATGTGCTCCTCCTGACTGCTCCAGTTTTTCACCTGCTCCCTGAACTTTGTGCTCCATAGGTATGCAGAAGGAATTCAAGAGTTTGTCCAAGGTGCTTTTTAAGCTGTAATTACTGGTGAAAAAGGAAATTGAACACTGATCTGCCTTTATGGCTTAAAAACAGAGAAGAATGAATCCCATTTTATTGCAATGAAAACATGTTAACATTTCAAAATTATAGCCCTAAATTGTTAAAATGCCAAAAAGCTGTCTCTTTACAAATATTAGAAACTTCACAAATTCTCTCAAAATTACCAACTCTGCATGTAATCATCTACTTAGCAACATGTAAGTACTTTAACCTCTTGATGTTTTTTCTCACACACACAAAAAAAGCCACCACTGAATGTTATTATCTATATATTTGTTTTCCCAGTAGACTTCCTTTAACTCCTCTTTAATATGACTTAAAATCTGTAATCTTGAAATGTATGGTTTTCTCATATATTACAGAGAACGCAGTGCCTTTCTAGTAAAGTACCAATAGAGCAGTAACTAATACATAGAGGGCCTCACTGTGAAGTTTACCACCTTAGAGGAATCCATGCCAATAAAGTTTAGCTTTTACCTCTGTGATTGGTGAGGTCTCTGGATCCTGAAGGTAGAGGTGTATAGCTCATCTCTGGAGAGATTGAGGCAGCATCGCTGGAGGCCTGTGTGATAAAACAAATACTATCAGTGTTTTGAGCAAAGGTCATTGAGTAAACAGAGACAATTCACCTGTAAATGAGTATTCTGATGTACATACAGGTGCACAAAATCACCAATCATGGAAGACTACTGAGAACTGAAAGAAAGCTTAATTTGTTTTCATTAAAACCAGTTTCAATCTTGCAAGGAAGCTGCACTCAGAAGTTTGCACTATTATGTTAAATTTCATTGCTAGAAAATATTGCCATACAGTTCACAGCTTTACAGAATTACCAAGTAAACCAGGAAAACCTTGGGCAGCGTTAAACACATACCTTTTAGTGAAATAGAAAAATTTTTACCTGAAGGAATTTACTCGTTCACAAGCAAAAAAAAAGAAGATAGAAAATAGAAAGCTAGAATAAGATGCTATACTTTTCAAAACAAAGCAAAAACTAGATTTCAAAATTCCACTGTTCTGTAAGCTAAGCAAAGGGATCTCTTAAGAATGATGCATATAACGTTCAAAAGTTGTACAAGTATCTAGATTAATAATGAACAGGTAAAACCCATGTCAGATTTCTAAAACACTTAAAGAAATATCAAGAAGACTTACTGAGAATCCTTAAAAGAAAATGTTAAGGGAGAAGAAAAGAAACTCATTTTTTCCCCCATAATAAAGAAAAATTTCAAGATCCTATGATTCTGAATCGAAAACATTAAACCACAGTTATTGTTTTCTGTAAACCAGTCTTAATCTGGTTGAAGAAGATTTCATCTGAAGAGCAACATAAAGCCAAGGAAAGCCATGTTTACCATCTTGCTTTTTAGTTATTGAGCTGTGAAATCTCATTCTTGGCTGATATGAAAATAATGGATCTTGTTGATGAATAGGAATCATCATGATAGTATTTTAAAACTTTAGTTTGAGTTGGATAGATAGCATGGTAGTGACATGCCCAGCTTCATTCAGAAACAACAATGTCTACTAAAAGTTATGCGATAATTTCTGATAGAAAAGATAAAGGAAATTAAAAAAAAAAAAACCACAAAAACTAAACTCCTGAATTTCATAACGATTTTTAAGAGGAATCTTAGAATAGTTATCTTCTATTCCTGTTATTCCTATATGTTATTTTGGCTTACAAATTGCAAAGTCACTCAAAGCAATTCACATAAATTTCTTATTATTTTTAATTAATTGTGTATATGAAATGAATTCAAAACCAGATTTACAAAGGCTAGTTAAGATGAAAGCATAAGATAGGGCTAAAATGTCTTTGGGAAAAAAAAAAGCTTCTAACCAAACTAAACTTGAGAACAACATGGAGAAGTCCAAAACGATGAAAATCTCCAATATTTTGTTTGAGAACATAGAAATCTTTGTTATAGCTGTACAGATTGTAGTACATTAAAATGTGCAAGGGTAAGTGACTGAGTAGATTTGTATACTAAGCTTTTGTTTTCAAAGGCCAGCTGTGAATTTTAGACAGGTTTGTCAGACCATACAGTCCTATTTTAGTCCTTGGCAAAAATCAGGATATAATAGGAGAACACATCATGTGTTAAAACAGACAGGTTTGCCAAAACAGCAATGATGCTATGTATGAGGTATGAAGAGTGCTCTAGAAAATCCTCTGCTCACTTTCTTACCAGTGACTGTGCACCCTCCTTTTCAGAGAGGTAATACTGTAAATACACCTTTTGCTTTCAGACAAAGTGAATGATCTCTTGATTTTAGTGAACTGTAAACATACAGCCCTACCCACACTGGACAAAGAAGGGATTGGAGATCTTATCTGTGACAACCAATATAATCTGAGGATATCTAATACCTCACAGGATCAGATGGATGCCTCTAACATCCAGCAATATGACACCTGAAATAAGTTCCAGGAGCAGGTATGTGTTCACAGCTATCTGTTTTCTTTTGGTCTGGAAATTCTGGGTAAGACAAGAATAAAAATGTCACTACCTATTTAGCATAAGACTTCATCCCTGTAAATCATTTCAAAAACTGGAGGAATAAGTGGTCACATACTGTAAACCCTAGATGTTATCTGCCTATTCAAGTGTACTTAGCTGGGACTTTGATAATAGTGAAGGTTTCTCTTTGATACTTTTAATCTCAATTTAGACTGTTGACAGCTTGATGATAGCTTTTCCTAAAATTACTGGAAGAGACTTTGCCTTTTCAGCAATAAACCACTGACTGAGCAAAACAAGAGCTTCTAAAAAGCGGATTGGAGTGAAGGGGCAATTGAGCTTTATTTCAAATTTTAGGAAAAGCAAGAATGGAAAGGTTTGTTTATTGGTGTTTTGCTGCAATTTTACGTATAGTATATAATTCCCTGTCAAATATGGAACAGTTTCATTACCTTTGAGCTAAGTATTCAGTTAGAGCAACTTTAATTCTATGGAATATCATCCAGGGTTAGGATTGTTTTGTACAAACATTGCCTGGAACTCTGAATCACGTTTCTGATTAAACCTGTGCACCAGCAGAATGACAATTTGTTTTCCCTACTGCAGGAACACATTTGGCCCCAAATATTTTCCAAAGAGATTTGTATAGATTACATTACTCTCGATAGTCACAAGAATATTTTGACAGTGATTGCACTGGCATGTGACAGTTGTGTCTTCGAGTATTGGTGAAATATGAAGTTCATGTTGCAATGCAGAAGGTAATTACAAAAAGCTGGTTAAAATAAGAAGTATCTTCAGTGTTATATGTACAGGTCACCAAATAGCTAAGTGAATAAATTCTAATAGTATTATTACTAGAAGCACTTATTTCTGCAAGCATTCCAGCCATAGTACATAGTACAAAACATAGAAGTTACAAGGCCTATAAAGTTACTCACAGGTTTAGTTATGCACATAGCCAAAAATTTGCTAAATTGAAGTCTCTATCTGTCTTAACATTAGCCTGTAGATTTTGTGGGGATTAGGAAATCATACGTTCTCTTGAAGAGTAAGATATAGCATGATATTATGCGATATTGGCTATAATGGAATATCCTCAATGCTTGTTAATACTTTATATTCTTCTATTTTTGTCACGTAACATAACTTGTATTTGCATCCAGATATTTCTCTAGTAATATTTCTCCTTGATATGTGAGAGATCATTGTTATTTCTACGACATGCGTCAATTCTTTACACACCTATACATAGCAGTAACAGTAGCAGTCATCAATATATTATTGTGACAAATTTTACAATACAGGAAAAATAGCATTTTAGCAGCTTCCTGAGAAGAGTTTAACAGATATGCAAAACACTTATGGTAAGTGACATGGTAAATAAAATTGTTTCAGTGCACACATACAGAGGGAGATTTCCTTAGCTAAATATATTTAATTCAAATACAAAGCCACCGAGGGAAATCTTTGTTTACTATTACTAAATGCACCTGTAGTCAAGGCTTAACTATATTTGAACCTGATTATTATAATTCTAGTAAATTATATAAAAGTTTGCACAATCTTCTGTTTAGTTTAAGGACTAATCCTGAATCATGTGGGCACATGTATCTTAGCCAGAAACACAATGGCAACAGCCTTCAATAATTTCTACACATTTGAAACTTTACCTAAGAGTATTTCTACCAGTAGGAGAGCAGCTTGTCAATTCACTCCCTAATACTGGCTACAGTAGCTCACATCTCTAGGCTTTCAGTGTATAAGACCATCTAGATTTGTTCTCATTTGAGATAAAACATATAGATATATTCCACAGACCTGCTCAGCATTATAAATATAAATAAACAGATAAATAAAGTAGATATAACTAGAAACTCATTTATGGATGAAATATTAATTTATGTACATTAATCATGTATTCACATGTGAAGAGACACATAGCCATATTAACAGAAAAAAAAAAGTATTCATTGTGGGTTGAATTTATTACACGCTTGTAGAGAGTATCAAACACTACTCCAGAGGGAATGTTTCTTCCCATAAATTTGCACAGTACCAAGCACAATGAGGCTTTAATTTCACTATGATGTCTTTGAGAACCTCATGGTAGCAGAAGACATTACTGGAAGCAGCAGTATACCAAGTCTTTGAACACTCTGTTCTAGGAATGAAGAAATTTATTTATAACGTATCTGCTTTATCATGAACTCTGGAACCATACAGAAAAGTTGCTAGTAAAAGAAAGAGACAAAATTTGAAAAAAAAGGAATAAAGAATGAAACTAGAAATATAAGTAAAGGCAAACAATGAGAATAGAGCAGGCTACAAAAGCAAAAATTCTTGCTTTTCTTTCCCCTTTTGTGAATTAGGATGCAGGTTTCCAACAAGCCAGTGCTTCTGTAACCAATCATTATGCTGCTACACTTAGAATTACAAACAAGTGACATGGCACAATACACAGGAGACAGTTTTCCCTGATGAAATGGGATTTCCCGGTTCCCCTGCTCCACAACCAAACACAGCTAACAACAGATTAGCACTCGCATCTACTAAACTTGCAGCATGAATTAAAGGCACTTTAATAAAGGAGGGGAAGAAGAGAAGGGGGACTGATTTTGCCACAACTTGCCTGATCTCTGTAAGCTTACTTGAGGTGAGCTCCTTCCCCTGCATAGAATCAGTGATTTATTTAAAAATCTGATTTTAGATACCAGATCATAGTAATGAAATAAAACAGAACAGCAAACAAGTGTTGTTTGGAAGGAAAGGGTACTACTTTGTTAATCTAAATATCATGTTCTGATGAAGATCACAAAGATCTGACTGACTTCCATTTATCAGTAACCATTAAAAAAATAAAAATAAAAGAAGTAATTTAGCCAGAAGACAAATACAATCTGACTACTGCAATCTAATCATTTTAATTTACAAATGCATCTCATTACAAAGATTTTTTCTTTTTTTGTTAACTAAAGAGAAAAAAGCTTTTTTCTTATCAGTAATGAAGAAAATTCATAAGAAAAGAGGAGAATGAAAGGGCAGGTATAGGTAGGGTTAAAGGATTTATTGGCTTTCGTCGTCTTCTGCCTACAAG